GCACTGCGAGAGGAGGGGACACCCCTCACCTGGGCTTGAGGCCGGGCCTACGGCCCTGAGAATTCTTATGGAAGACCAGCCCGCACCCCCAGAAGCCTCCAGGCGGAGAGGACAAAGCTGACCCTGCGCAGCCCCAGGACCGGGCGCAGAGGCCGCCACGCCCGCCCGCTGGATGGGGAAGAACTGAGAATTCGACACTTCGTGCGCTTCTTCTGGATGTGCGAGATGTGGGGGCGGTGGGAAGGCGTCCCACAGAAGGGTTAGTGTCAGGAATAAACACGAGATCCTAGGAGCCAATCCTCCGTCCCTGTGGGCCATTTCCTCCCCTCTGAAATCTTTAGTTCAGGGTCATAGCAGAGCCTGCACTGCCGTCTAACTTCTGCAGATACATGATTAACCTCCAGAGGTTTGTTTTAAGGACATCATAGGGCCCTAGGCCAAGATGGGGGGCTTCTGGTGGGTTTGGGGTTCTGTTTCTCAAAATAAAAATAATTTCTAGGCAGTGGGTCAGCCATCCTAAGCCTGGCCGCTGGGGGGAGAAGATAGGAGCCAGGCAGCTCGTCCTTCCTCAGGTGGCCATCCTGGGCCCTAAAGAGAGGCCAGGAGTCCACATTCAGGCAGCAATGCGGGCAGGGACACTCCAGAGCCCGCAGCCGACCCAAGGGCAAGCATTAATGCTAACATTTTCAGGCGCATCAGGAGCAGTTGATGGAGGCAGATCCTTTGCAGAAGGAACTAGAGACGCTGGACGCTGTGCTGTAGGCTCCAGCAATGCCCTCAGCTGTCAGCCGCCACTGCTCAGGCACGGGGTGGGGTGGGGGGGGGTGGTTCGCAGAGCCCAGGCTGAGGCCTCCTTCCCGCTAACCAGGGGCCTCTCCACTAAGGGAAGAGTTCGAGAGTCTGGTCCAGAGGGGGGAGAAAGTGCTGTTGGGGTCGGACCAGGTTGCTGAAGAGACTAAACCTGCCGAGTCATCTGGGGAAGCAATGCTAGTACAATAGTAATAATAATAATAGTCATGATCACAACTACCATGGAATAAAAGTAGGTATAAGGAACAGAGTCACAATCATCACATTTAATCCACAAAAGAGCTCTAGAAGGTGGATGCCAGTTTCCCCATTTATAGGTGAGGAAAGGAGGTTTACAATGGTTTGAGATATTGGCCCGGGGTCACACAGCTTGCCTGACACCAAGCTTATGGTCTTAACCAACACATAGGAGACCTTAGATCCCTACCAGTTCTGTAACTTTATGATTTGAAATGTTAAAGTTTTATTCAGAGTTCAAAAAGCAATCTAACATCTATAATAATAAAAGTGTAATGTGCTAATTAGACCAGACAACCAAACGACCTTCCAGACATCCTTCTAGACGACCTTCCAGACCACACTATGACACCCACTGGTGCCAGGCCAGCCAAGGCGGGTGCGATGCAATTGGTCGGGGGCTGGCCATCACCCCATGATCGCCCTCCAGAGGGAGGCCCAGGCCATCGGCCAGCAGGGTGATTGATCAATTGGGGGGCTCCAAATTTGCCCCAAAGAGGGAGGCCCAGGCTACCAGCAGCAGTGCTGCGGCGGGTGAGTGGGGCCTCTGTGGGGGAAATCCATCACAGAGCCCTGGCTGTGTGGACAAGGCCTACCTCTTTGGGGTGATCAATTGCAGGGCTCCTGGACTGTGAGAGAGCACAGGCTGGGCTGAGGGACCCCTCTCCCCCACCCAGTGCAAGAATTTCGTGCACCAGGCCTCTAGTTCAATAATATCCCAATGGCAATCATGTACCATCTTTTCTCTCCTCGTGTGTGTGTGTGTGTGTGTGTGTGTGTGTGTGTGTGTGTTTATCTTTATTGTTGAAAGTATTATAGATGTCTTCTTTTTTTAACCCCACTAACCTCCTCCACCTCACTCCTGCCCCCTGCCCAGGCCTTCACCGTACTATTTTCTACGTCCATGGATTATGCTTATCTATATATATAAAAGCTTAAGCAACCATCCAACCAGTAGCTATAACATACACTGACCACCAGGGGGCAGACAGTCAATGCAGGAGCTGCCAAGCTGGGGTGAATTGGCAGCTGCAGTTCTCAGGTGACACACCTGGAACCAGAGAGGATGGAGCCTGATTCTGGGGTGCATCACCTGAGAACTGCCCTCTCACTATCCGGGACCCCCAGCAGGTCCAAGGGTCCCCAAAGGTGTGGACGGAGTCGGCGAAGAAGGAAGAAGAAGGAATGACACGGAGACAGTGTTCAGTTGATCAGCAGCCTAGCCAAGTTCTGGTTCGGTTCTCTCACTAGGTTCTACAGCCAGGTTCTCCAGGTTCTCCAGCCAGGTTTGGTTGCCAGATTCTGTAGCCAGGATCTTCAGCCAGGTTCTGTTGCCAGGGTCTGTCTAGATTCTCCAGCCAAGTTCTGTAGCCAGGTTCTGTCCAGGATCTTTTGCCATGTTCTCTTGCTAGGTTCTGTGTCTAGGTTCTGTGTCCTGTTGTTATATCTATA